TTCACACCAAATGCAGACCAGATCTGCATGAGTTTCTGCACACGCAGTGCAGTGGGCTGTGCCGCGTTTTTGATGCGTTCCAGGCCGTTTTTGGTAAAAAAAATGGGCTTTCAGTGCGTTCCAGAGCAGGTAAAATAGGGCTTGCTGCAGTTTTTTTACATGCTCTGCGGTGTGAAGTAGAGCCCAAAATACCATTGGACTACATTGGACGCAATTTTGATCCGGTCTGTAACAGATCTGCTCTGCTCCTGGAACGCGCTTGGTGTGAACAAGGCCTCAGTGACATCTTATCAAGCACTAATAGTGAGATTAATTCACAATGACCGCTTGATATAATTAAATAAATAACATAAAAATGTTTTAAAAAATAGTCAAAAGTGTAAAAATAAAAAATATCAGAATGGAACCGAGATGTGTCCGGGCAGCGTATTTCTGCGTATTTTACGCGCGTACGCGCATATACGCGTGTTTGCGCGCATATACGCACATACACGCGTACAGTTCATTAGGATTTCTATTGCGAATGATGCATTCTGGGATTGCATATAGTGCACGCATATACGCACATACGCGCATATAAGCACGTACATACGCGCATGTACACGTATATACGCAATATACAATTTTGCTCTTGCGTTGGGTGTGAATGAGGCCTAAGTGACAGTGACATTGTATGCCAAGTGACCACTTTTAGCTTTTAGAGAAAAAAAGATTAAAATATTCGGTTTTAGTTTTAGGCCGAGAAGTACAGAAAAATGTCTAAAATCCTAGGGATGTGAGGTTTTTCCAAATAAAGGACAAATAAATGAATGTATTTAATGCATTTTTTTTTAGCAGTGCTATTTTTAAAAAAAATATTACAAAACTGGGGAAAGTGTTTTATTGACTGTTTTTCCTCTTTTTTTTATATTTTATTTGTCCTAAGTGAGGCGTTAGGCACACATATGTGATATAAATATATAGCCCTACCTGTCATCTAAAAAACAATATATAATATGTGTGGGTCCACTTTGTAAGAAAGTATATTACTGACGTGGAAGAATCACACATCAAAAATTTCAAAAGTGTGTCAGTCAATTATGAACAGAAACTAAAAACAAGCTCAGTCATGAAGGGGTTAAATATTATGTGCGACCCTTTGGTGAAGTTAAGGGCCCCACTGGAGGCCCTCTATAACAAGTACGTTGGCCACTGGTTGATCTAGATCAGGGGTGCCCACAAGGTCGATCGCGATTGCGGATCGCACTGGACTGGAACACAGGCACTAATGCAGGCGATCGCACTGTGGGCCCCTCGCAAGTATCAAAGATGTCACCAGCACACCAGTTTTAGTGATCAGCAAAAGTCTGTTTTAATGACCAGTTGCCATTTGACATCAACCAGTTGACATCAACTGTATATCAAACAAGCCTGCGCAGCCTACGCCCCCTCCCGCCCCTAATTGCAGGTGTTTTTTCGTTGGTAGATCTCAATGAGCTCGTCATTTGAAAAGTAGATCTCCAGATGAAAAATAGTGGGCGCACCTGATCTAGATGAATACATGATGAGTGGTAAACTAGTAACTCATAACATGATATTAGGTAAAAAGCAGAAATAATAAAATAATATTATAGATGGCATAAAATAAATGAAGAAAACACAATATGATATAAGCAATGAGCATAATGAGCAATGAATTCCATGAGAATTGATAAGTGAGTACTGAATACAGTATGAATATTCTGGAGGGGGTTTCCAGTAGTTATTATGGTTATGGTAACAGACTGGAAATATAAGCAAACAACAAAAAGACCCCATACTAGCTCTCGTTGTATCAGATTTATACACAGGAAAGATGCAAGAACACTAAAAAGAAAACATCTCAGCGTAACAAAACTTATGTAAATGGAGTTGTTCATTCACAGCAAAAATTGAGGTCCATATAGGAGTAGTGAGATTGGTTTATAAGAGAAAAGATACAATAAAAAGTTGCGAGAATTTCAAGTTGTCACCACTCTGTCCAATAAACTATTATTATTATTATTATAATACAGGATTTATATAGCGCCAACAGTTTGCGCAGCGCTTTACAATATAAGGAAGACATTACAATCACAATACAACTCAAGACAAGATGGTAAGGAGGGCCCTGCCCCTCAGAGCTTACAATCTAAAAGGGAGGGGGAAGTGATACATGAGAAGGGAGCTGTGTGGGGATGAATTGTTTGAGAATGTGATGGTTGAGCAGTTAGGTTGAGGTGGGATAGGTTTCCCTGAAGAAGAGGTGAGTCTTCAGGGTACGCCTAAAGGCGGTCAAGGTGGGAGACAGGCGGTCAGGTTGGGGTAAAGAGTCCCAGTGGATGGGTGAGACTCTAGTGAAGTCATGGAGGCGACCATGGGAGGAGTTGACGAGGGAGCTAGAAAGCAGGAGGTCTTGGGAAGAGCGGAGCGGACGGTTAGGGTGATACTTTGAGACCAGGTTTGAGATATAGCCGGGGGCGGAGTTGTGGGTGGCTTTGTAAGTGGTTGTTAATATTCTGAATTTTATCCTTTGTGTGAGTGGAAGCCAGTGGAGGGATTGACAGAGGGGGGTGGGGGGATGGAAGCCAGTGGAGGGATTGGCAGAGGGGGGATGCAGACACGGAGCGGTTGGTCAGGTGGATGAGTCTAGCAGCTGCATTCATGATAGACTGAAGGGGGGATATCCTGTGTAGTGGAAGTCCAATGAGGAGGAAGTTGCAATAGTCAAGACGAGAGATAACAAGTGAGTGGATGAGTAATTTTGTAGTATATAATTTTGCCCTGAAAGGACAAAAGAACAGGTTCATGTTAAGTGCTCAAAAAAAATCTATCAGGACTCATTGCTGCAATATGTGAAAAAAATCTAAAACCCTCCGTACAGTAAACAAACAATGCCGGTGTGTTTTTAGTCCACTGAATGTGGCCATCCATCAACATCTAGTTGTCCTAGATGGAGCTGGGAACTCCTGCTATGGCTCCTATGACTCTGCTGACGGGAAGAAGCGGTATGCATTTTTATGCTTCTGACTCTCTTCCCAGCAAACAAGCTGGAAAATCCATGTGTGCAGTGAACGATTCCAACAGTCAGGGCTGGATTTACCATCAGGCAGAGTAGGAACGTGCCTACAGGTGCCCTCCATAGAGGGGTGACATGCGGGTACCTACTCTGCCTAATTCCCGGTGTTGTGTCAAGATACAACACCGGCAATAGCAAGTAAGGTGCATTCTGTACAAAATGCACCCTCCTGCTCCAAAACCAGCGGAGTACAGGAACGCAAGGGAAGGACCCCGGCAATGAGTAAGGCTGCCTTGGAAAATGGCTGTCTGATGCGGGCAGGCATTTACATGGCGCCCAGGTCTTTCTCTGCATATGTGAAAGCCGGCGGGTCCCGCACCAAGTAAGGGCACCAGCTCAGGCTAAACAGATTTTCATTCGTGCCTACAAGCATGCGAAATAGAAATCCGGCCCTGCCAACAGTTGGCACCTAAAATCATGGCCCTAGGTAGCTTTACAGCCCAAGTCAAAACTTTGTCAATACATCTTTGAAAGGGCATTTCAGATTTCACAGTCTGGTATTTATTTTAGAGTTTAGATTTTTATCACCAATGTGCTGACCTTTATCATCTTTATTCTGAGTGAACTAGTTATGTTTAACCTCTTGACCCAACTTTGATCAGCTTGCTTGACTCTTGCCTTGCCATTGGCCATCCTTTGTCTCAACTTCGAGCTCAGCAGGTACCGTACTTGGCCTGAGTAAGCTTTGCCAGCCTAGGCTCTTAACTTGCCACTCTGTTCAGATTCCATAATTTTGGACATAGGAATTTAGGGTTACCTGGGTACCAATTAACAGAAACCTTCCTAACTGTTTCTGGGACTGCTTTGTAACAGTAGAAGAGGGAAGGAGGCTGGAAATAGAGGTCTACCGAAAACCAACACACACAGACCAGTACCTGCTATTTGATCCCACCAGCTTTAGATCACAAACTGGGAGTCATCAGGACTCTACACCACTGGGCAGAGAAACTTCTCACCAGAACAGAGGCCAAAACGAAGGAATTTAAACACCTCAGGGGGAGGGGGCCTTCAAACTTGCAGGTATCCAGACTGGGCTTTTGTCAAAACAGAAAGAAGAGGAAAGAATGCCAAGAGTACCAGTGAGAGTGAAAAGCATGAAGAATGGAAGAATTTGGTCATCCCATATGTAGCTGGGGTGTCTGAGAAACTCTGAAGGGTTTTTAAAAACATCACATCCCTGTCTGCTTTAAACCCAGCAATACACTGAGGCAACAACTGGTTCACCCAAAAGACCCCACACCAAAACGCAAGATGAACAACATTGTGTATGCAGTCCAGTGCAGTGAGGAGTGCTCAGAATTGTATGTTGGTGAAACAAAACAGCAGCTACACCAGTGTATGGCACAGCATAGAAGAGCAAAACCCTCTGGTCAGGATTCAGCTGTGTACATACACCTAAAGGAAAAAGGTCACTCCTTTGAAGACAGTCAAGTACGCATCCTAGACAGGGAGGGGGAATGGTTTAAAAGAGGCGTAAAAGAGGCCATTTATGTAAAAATTGAGAAGCCAAGCTTGAATAGAGGTGGGGGGGGGGAGGGGTGAGACATCTATTGTCTGCCACCTACAACGCTGTTTTAACACCTCCTAGCTTCAATTATGCAAATGCAATCAACATCCTTACCTCCATGAGGTCTCTGAGCCCATGCTGGTTGCGATTAACAGATTATGTGGATTGGAGCAACATTCATCATATTTCTTCCCAGAGAATGTTTGTACAAGTCATTCTGAACTGAGAAAGCTGGTTGGATGACCACTGAAACATCTTCAAGAAAAATACAGCCATTCCAGTTGTTTTGACTTATTTTTTACAGATACTTCCTAACTGTTGGTCACAAAAGGGGTCAACAAGTCTGAACAAGCAACTCAACCTTACAAGGTCGTTGAGCTTAGGAAAGAGAGCAATCGCCATGAACAGAATCCTTACCTCTGAATTTTTTGGGTGGATTGGCCAGGTCTCCAGCCTCTGGGTTAACCACACATCTATCATCCACCAACCTACAGACAAAAAAAGAGAAAAGCATCTTCAATATGAGTTCTGAACATCAGAGGATCAAATATTGACAAAGCAAAGGTTCAAAACTGGCTAATATTAGCAGAATCAACAATGACACATTGCAGGATTACTAAAAATATACAAAATCCCGCAGATGCACTTCATAGGCTGTGTCATTAGAATGGTTCAGTGCTGAACAAACCAAAGAAGCATGACACGCATTGCCCACAAACAATTAGTGTAAATACTTATTTTTGTCTCCTCAGCCAATGACATTGCCTCTAGACATTGCCGTTAGATTGAAGGACCTTAGACACTATAAACCAGTCAACCCAGTAAGTGAGTTTTAACTCAAAACAAACATGCAGCCATTGAGGTTAGTATACTGATCTGCATTCCTGTTCTGGGTCAAGGATTCTGAAATAGGGGAAGCTATTTGATATATTTGACATACAAGCAACTAGCTTTTTCAAAAAGAGAGGCCAGGATGTGCAGCATTTATATGTCTTTTAGAACAGATTCCCTTTAAAACCCATTTCTACCTTTGCAGAGGTTTTTTTTTTTTAAACATATGCCAGCAATGTATACCGAGTCCACATGAAGCAGGCATATGCAGTTGCTGTATATGAACACAGAAACTTACTTTTTATGTCCTCTTCATCTCCATATGGCTCTTTATGAAATGGCCGCCTCTGTGCTTTACAAGCAGTCTGTGTAAAATAAAATTCTCTCTCTCTGAGCCTTCTCACCCCCTATCCATTAATATTCATAGTGGCAACACCCCCTGGACAGTGTACCGTGACCTACAAAGGCAGAGATGGTGTGCAGTGATATTGTTACAATGACTCACAGGGAGGGGGTCAGCTACTTTAGAACAGTGGTTCTCAACCTGTGTAACCTCGGGACCCACATTTGGGCTTGGTCATTAAGTCGGGACCCAAGTCGCACTGCAATGGAACGCACGGCATTAGGGTACCGCACGTACCAGTGCAGGCATACGAACCGTGGGTGAGAGGTGCGTTTGGGGTACCATTCAAATGAATTGCAATGCAACACACCTCCCATACAAGAGTGCACAGTAGGTGCGATTGTGTGGTACAGTGCAGTAATCACACGGTACTATGTAATTAACATGCTGTACTAGTGTGAATGGGCCATCAAAAACAATGACATACATACACAACCACAGACACAGTCTCACACACACATACACACTCCAAAAATGTTTTCTTTCTTTTTAAGATCCACCCAGTCTCCTTACCTTACGAGAACTGGAGTGGATCCTCAGCCTGAGGTCCAGTGTGGGCTGCTGTGCTGTGACAGAGCTCCATCCATATGTGCAATGCTTGTACAGCTCCCTTGCGCGCCCTTTAGAGGTGTCGGGACCCAGAATGTGATGTCACTCCTGTCCAGGCACCTCTATAGGACACGTGAGGGAGCTGTAAGCAATGCACGTTTGGATGGAGCTCCCTCGTGGCCATAGACCCATCCCAGCTCAAGCTGACACTCGGCAACATGCAGCATATTTTTAAAGTTTGCTTTGTGTGAGAACTGGCAATCCTGTGCTAGGGGGAGGCACAGGAGCCTCTCAACTAGAAAAGTGGAAGGCATGCGGTGACCCACTGAACACGGGGTCGCGGCCCACTTTTGGGTCACGACCCACCAGTTGAGAACCAAGGCTTTAGAATACAATTCAACCGCAGTGTCACACTGAGTTTCCTGAGGAGAATTTTCAATTTGTAGGTCCATAAAAAAAACTAAGAATGCCAGCAATGTGAGTCATGAAAATGTACACACATATACATCATCACTGCACCTCTACATGACCACAATAAATGCTAATCATTTACAAGGGTGGAAAACTGGAAAAGGGCTTTATGCATCATTAGTAGTTGCCTGCCTATGCTTTCTTGTCTCACACAGCAAACACATGTCTAGTAATCAGTTCAAGTATCAGCTTTACGACAGGTTATCAGTAGCCACTGTTATTGCACATGTTAAAGTATGTGTCTGAGCAATATAAAAATAGCACATCTCTGCAACACATGCATAGTTCCCATGCTTTATGTTTTACAAATGCTGCAAATACAGAAAATACTTGTTCTGCCAGAAATCCAGAGAGTTGTTAACTTTCCGTAGTGAGCGGACAATGCTGCACTGAAATGCCAAGCAGAGTTGTCATTTCTGTCCAAGTTCTCTTTTTCTGGACTACATTATGTAATGAAGGTGAGAAGAGGATGAGGTTTTGTAGTCCTAACACTTTCTGTCCTAGGGTGACTACTCTGCTTCTCTATAAATGCAGTACAGTGGATGAGCATTGTCACCCTAGGACAGGAAGTATGCTAGTGCCAGGTTCACTGGGTGAATATAAAGGGAAAAAAGCCTGATAAAAGAAAACTTACATTTCTGTTTTTGGGTTTGGATACAATTTAGCCAAAACATTTAATGTCACAGACCCCATAAAACTGAGACTTGTCCACAGAATTAAATTGTCTGACCGATTATCTATTGGTTTACATAAAGGAGATGGAAAACATCTTAATTTATAAAAAGCATTAAAGGAGAACTATGAGGTGAGTGCTTTTCACTCACCTCATAGTTCTAGCCGACCTGTGACAATGAGACTGTCACAGGTCGGCTCAGTAGATCGGGAGGTGAGTGAACACATACCGGGTTCGCTCACCTCTCGATCCTGTCACGGCTCTCTACCGTGACAGGGGGAGGGGCTGGATTCCCCTCTCCCCGCTCCGATCTGCCGCACTGACTGGCGGAACGGAAGGGGGAGGGGGCGGGTACAGCTGGCTCTGCCTCTAGATAGGCAGAGCCAGCTGTCACTCACGCAGCTGGGCGGATCCGGACATAATTGTCGGGATCCGCTCCGGCTGCGGTGTCTCAGTATACCGCGAGCTGTAGCTTGCGGTATACTGAGCTTAGGGTGACAGGAGGACGCTAGTTTGTGTCCTCCCGTTACCCTAAGGAGAACTATGGGGAAAAGCCCTGACCCCATAGTTCTCCTTTAATGGAGAGGGTAGTGGCCCATTCACACTATTTCTCCAGGGCCTTTCCCATCCCCTGGAACTCCCTACCCTAATATGTTCAGCTGTCCCTGCTCTGTCCGCCTTTAGGCAATCCATAAAGCCTAACTTGCCTAGCCTAAAAACAACTATTACTTTCTGCATCAGCTCATCCCTCACAGTCATTACCTTGGTATCACACACCCCTCCCTTTAGGGCCCAGTCACACCATCAAGAATGCGTTCCAGTGCGTTCAGCCTCTGGAACGCACTAGAACACAACCCGGCAGGCTGTTTTTTGGGGGGCAGGAGGGGGCGTGGCGGTGCATTGAACTCAATGGCACCGCAGCCACGTCCCGACCCGCGGTGCAATCGCCGGCACCCGAACGCGTGGCACATTAGTGACTGCCTTCCGGTCCAGTGCGATCTGCAAAAAATAGCGTTTGCAGCATTTTTTGCAGATCGCACTGGACCGGAACGCAGTCACTAATGTGCCACGCGTTCGGGTGCCGGCGATCGCACCGCGGGCAGGGAGGGGAGTGGCTGTGGTGCCATTGAGTTCAATGCACCTCCACACCCCCTCCCGCCCCCCAAAAAACTGAGCCAGCCAGGTTGCGTTCCAGAGGCTTAACGCACTGGAACGCACTCCTGATGGTGTGACAGAGCCCTTAGATTGTAAGCTCTCAGGAGCAGCACCTTTCTAACCCTCTTGTATTGAACTGTATTGTAAATGTTATGTCTCCCTTTATTTTGTTAGTCATAATAAAGTCAAAAGGTTTTTAAGCTTTTTCACATGCTAATGAAATCACTTACAATGGATGCTGCTCCTTGAAGATTTAGCTTCCTACAGAATCAGCTGGTTCCCTGAGCACTGGCCCTAATATCCTGTTTTAGGGTGGCTCCTTTCCCTTGCAGGGTCCTAAGGAGACACCATTGTTTGTGCTAGTAAGCAGTGTGTGTCTCCACAAACAGGCACAGCAAAGCAAGGCAAGCTATTTCCCTACCCCCCTTTCAGCTGCTGGAGACTGCTCTGTCACGTGTGATCTTGTACTGGACAGGAAGTTCAGGGAAGCTGAGCTGAGAGAGTTGGAGCTATTTGGAAACATGATGACAGTAAGTGCTTAGGCAAAAATGTAAAGAAATACTTAGCTGAACAATGTATATTTGTTTGATCTAAATTCAGTATTGAAGAAAGTTTGAGAGCCTAATTCGCACGCAAAACGTGCAGGTGTGAAAGGGGGCTAAGAGCAAGCCAGGATTTCTGCTGTGCTAGGTGAAAGTCCTCCTTAGCCCTCTCCTAGCGCAGCAGTGTCAGTTCTCCTGCCACGCCGCCAGATGTCACTGCAGCAGCCGCGTCATCCCTAAAATTTACCGTTGGGGGTCACCACAACTTGGCAAATGTTACCAAAGGGTCCCGGCCCTAGAAGGGTTGAGAACCACTGCCCAAGACAAAACGAGCATTAACCCTTGCAGTGCGGGGGTAGCCCAACTGCAAGGGTTAAGATTTGATTTGCCCGCAGTTCTGCTTTAATGTATGCAACTAAACCTAAAGGTGCCCATACGCGGGAAATCCCGAGATCGTACGATAATCATGCAGTGTATGGAAGGCGTGCGACCATTTCTACTGTAAGGTCGGACATCTTACCTCGAACAAGCAGGCTGGAAAACCCGCCGGGAATCGTACGATTCTCGGCGAGTTAGTGGCCTGCTTGTTCGACAACTGCTGAACGGGCCGGTGTGCGCACGCGCACACTGCCCGTCTGCAGTCATCGGAAGCCCGCCCCTCATTGCAGTCATCGCAAGCCCGCCCCTCAGGGGGGCGGGCTTACGATGATCGCAAGTACGATCTGCCTGTCCAAGATGGGCAGATCATACGTTTTTTTAAGTACTTTACAACCCTCGCAAGACAAAAGTCTTGCAAGGGTTGTAAAGTGTATGGCCACCTTTAGAGCCAGACCCAGCATCCAAATAAATGTGAATATTCAAAAA